TCAAAAGGATTATTCAAACTAATTTTTTTCGCTTGACTTCCTGAACTTCATGCAAAGCAAATTGAGACGAAATATTATCTAACCAAATAAAAATGCTTTTACTAATTTTATATGGGTAATTAATGTTAAACATTTTTTTATCAGAGTCTTGATTGAGATAATAAATATTTATAATTTATAAACATTAAATATATAGCGCAATAACAATTTTTAGCAACGAACCAGCATAAAATATTTAAAGTTTATAGTATCTTTTTAAATATTAAAAGTAGAAAAAAAAAAAACTAAACAAATAACCAAAAAAACTTCGACTAAAAATAAATAAAAATATTTCCAGAGTTTCTTTTGTTAAAAGTCTACCGTGACGTCAAATACTAAAACTTTTATGAATTAAACGCGGTTCAAAGGAATTGCCAAAGTCTGTAGATTGTGACGCATAATTTGAAGACTCCGATTTATTGAAAAAAAATGGAGAAGGCAAGCTTTGGCAAAAACAACAACATTTGTTTTTCACGGTAAGCATTCATTATTTATTTTTAATCAAAAAAACTTGGTTCAAACCTTTTTTTTCAACATTATCTTTAATATGAACACAACATGTGTCGGTAGTTTGGGATCCCTTTAAGATTTTTAAGGAGGAGTGGGAACCCTGAAAACTTTGCATTAAAATTTTAGAGATTTAGACACTTAAATGACACTTTTTTTTGGGGGGAAGGGAAGCTTTGACCTTTTTTTTTTTTTTTAATTATCTTCGCTTCCAACAAGGCTGCAAGCAACCACTAATTAGTGTTGGAAGTTACTGGAAGAGAAAAGATGAAAATTGTAGAGCAAGATAACGATTGACAGACAACTTAAAAGATTGCAAATTATATGAATCAGGAAAGCAAGATGAAGGGAGCGAATTCCAAAGAACTGATGTTTGAGGAAAAAAACTAGACAAATAAGAGTTTTTGAAGCACTTAGGAACAGTAACAGAAAAAGGATGAGACTTAATTGAATAACGAGTAACACGAGAATGAATTTTAGTAGATGGAACAAGAGACGCTAGCTCTTTAGAGCAGTGCCAGTTATAGTATTTGTAGAAAAGAGAAAGAGAAGCAACATTACGACGATGTGACAGAGGTTGAAGGATGGCTGCAAGAGAAGGTCCAACTATGTTTACAATGCGTTTTTGCACCTTGTCTAAAAGAGAAAGGGCATCATTAGAAGATCCGCCCCAGATATGGCAACAGTATTCCATACAAGGCCGAATTTGAGATTTATAGAGAAAGAGAATAGAATTCAGAGTAAAAAAGTGACGAGCTCGATAAAGAGATGCAACTTTAGCAGATGCTAACTTTGCAACGGATTTGATATAAGGTTTCCAAGAAAGATCAGAAGTGAGAGTTAAAGCTAGAAGATGATGGGTAGGAGACTCATCGAGTATATTACCATTCATAAATTGAGGAAGGTCTAAACTATTGCGATAACAATTGGCCGAAAAAAAATTGAGTTTTATCTGAATTAAAGTTCAAAATATTTCAAAATTTACAATAAAACAATGAACTTAATTAAACATTCTCAAAACGACTAAATATCTGGCAGGTTTTTCGCAACTAAATATTATTTCCATGGTCAGTTATCAAGTGCGTTCGCACCCGCTTCCCGACGGGATGTGAGAATATATGGAAGATCGTTAATGTAAATTAAAAAGAGTACAGAGCCAAGGATAGAACCTTGAGGAACCCCTGAGGTTACAGAATAAGAAGAAGAGTGCTGTCCATCAATGACAACTTTTATACTACGATTGGATAGGAAGGATTCAATAATCTTAAAGGTGTTTCCAGATACGCCGTAAAAAGAAAGCTTATGGAGAAGACCAGCATGCCAAACTTTATCAAACGCTTTAGAAATGTCAAGAGCAATGGCCTTAACCTCTCCACTTTTATCTAATGCGCGATAAAACCTATCTGTTATTACTGATAGCAAATCAGCCGTAGAACGAGAAGATCGAAATACATATTGATGATCAGAAAGTAGGTTATGAGATTCGAAATGAGAGACTAAGTGTTTGTTAATTAAAGATTCAAAAACCTTGCTTATGATAGGAAGAAGACTAATGGGACGGTCGTTAGACAAATCAGATCGCTCTCCAGAATTTTTAAAAATAGGGATAACAGATGCTGCTTTCCAGCAGGCTGGAAAACAAGAAGCTGATAAGCACTTGTTAAATAGTTTTGAAAGGATAGACGATAGCTCCGGAGAACACTTCTGCTAGACTATAACAGGTATGTTGTCTGGGCCGCAAGCTGTAGAAGAGTCTAAGCGGGAAATCACTTTAGATACAGAAGCTGGCGCGATACGAATGTCGAGCAATGGATCAACCTGTTTGACGGCTATATCAGGTAAAACGCAACTAGTGGCATTAAGAGATGATATTGATGAAAAGTTCTTGGCAAACAATTCAGCTTTGTCTTTAGGTGAGGTGACAAAGTCTGAACAATACAAAAGAGATGGAATTACAGACTTGCCCTTATTATTGATGCTATTAAAGATTCTCCAGAAGTCACGAGAGCCTAATTTTTGTGATGAAATACAAGATTTCATGATCTGAGAATAGCGGGTTTTGGCGTTAGACAAAACCTTTTTACAATGGTTCCTAGCAGTAATAAACAGACGTCTGTTTTCTGGAGAATTGTTTTGCTGATAGATATGGAAGTAATGGTTTCGATTGGCAATTGCAGCAGTACAATGTGAGGAAAACCATGGAAAAGAGTGAGGCTTGACCTGGAATCGTAGAGAGGGAATAAAGGATTCCATGCCAGTTATGTAAATGAATCCACAAAGTTATGTAAGAAGCACCCAGGGGCCATCACGAAGAAAATCACGGAAAGAGTCCCAGTCAGCTTTAAGGTAGTTGTAAGATGTACAATGATAGGGGGATTCTGATGGTAAAGAAGAATGAGATAATAGTTTTAGAGAGACCAAACCATGATCAGAAGCACCTAAGGGTGAGTGTGAAGAAACTGAGCACTGAGTAGGATCAGAAACAAGACATAAGTCAAGTAGAGAAGGTGAATGATTCAGGTTGTCTGGAAAGCGAGTTGGAAAGTTGACTATTTAAGTTAGGGATTGAGAAAGACAAAGGATGTGGGCCTTAATGCCTGCAGAGTCACTGACACTAGAGCCAAGCCATTCAGTGTGATGAACATTAAAGTCACCGACAACAACAATATTGGCTGATGGATAAAGAATGAGGGCTTGGTCAATATAGTCAGAAATAACATAAAGAAGAGTGCAGCCTTGAGATGAGAGAGAGCGATATAGAACAAAGAGAAAGGTGATAGAGTGAAGTGGTGCTAAACGAAAGCACATAAAAGAGTAGTCTGTGGATTCAAACCTAGTTTCCCCACAAATGGGTGAATTCTTACGAATGTAAATGCCTAGGCCAAGCATGTGACTATTGGAGTCTTTACGAATTAAAGGAAGATAACCATCAACACTAAGATCACAAGATGAGACAGCTGAACTCAAATTAGTCTCACAAAGAGCAAGCGAGTCTGCTGAACTTTGCAAGAGATAAGACTCAACAGAAGAAAAGTTACTTCGAAGACCACGAATATTGGTGAATGATAGGTTTAGCGAACTTGGTGATGACTGTGGTTTTTTGTGTTTTATAGTTTTTGTTACTTCATTCATTTTTAAATTTGTTGAAGAACTTGACTCGAAACATAGATAGTACTCAGTACACTGTTCTATAGCTCAAGCAATTGCCTCATTTCCACTAATAAACTAAGTCGTAACAAAGGGCTCCAATGTGGCCTAGGCAATGCACACCAAAAGTGCAAACAGGGACACCATCCATGCGCAACATGGCACTGTTAGTACTCTGATGTTTTTCAGCTGTTGATGGAATCAGCCTCTCTGAGAGCTACCACAGAGTTCGGGAAACCTGACTACCAGCCGGCCTCAGAACCATAAAACTGAGTTTTAGAGCTGTACCCTCATTAGGAGATAATAGAATGAGTTGCCTAGTCATAAAAACAGAGACAAAAGCAAAACCCATGAATTGAGTCAAGAAGATCCAACTTAAGTTTGGAGCATACACAAGCTCCAAACATAAGTATGCCTATGCCAAATATGTGAAATTTGTACAAGCTCTAAAATCTATGTATAACTATACCAAATAAGGATGCCTTGAAAAAAATTTGGATAGCCGAGGCCTGGGAATAAAAAAGCCCTAATGTGCTTGCTCTCCTCCTGCCTAAGTGTGAGGGCACTAATGCAGTAAAATTTCAACTTTACCATCTAAAACCAAGTTTAAATTTCATAGAAAAATATTGTAAATTACAAAAATTATGATAATACAAAATTTAACCCCCCTCTTTTTTTTGGGGAGGAGGGGGGGGGGGAGGTTTTGCATGCATGTGTGCGCATTGAGGGAAACTATACCCTATACCAAACATCTTTTTATATTGGCAAACTAATATTTTTAGTCAGAATTTTATCTTTTCTATCGATTACCTGGTTATTTGTGATAAATTAGAAAATCGATGTACATACTTTTAAAATGAAACCTCCCCCTTCCCCCCATACGCTTTTGTATGCTTTTTGAAGACCTCCCCCAACCCCCCTATGAGCTTAACAAATTACAACTGACAATAGTTTAATAGTTTAAAGTGCGCATTTAAAAGTTTAAAAAAAGATTCTTAACAATTCTTCACACAAAATAAAAAATTATGAAATTATTTATTTAGAAAATTAATATTTTTTTTATAATTATACATATATATATATATATATATATATATATATATATATATATATATATATATATATATATATATATATATATATATATATATATATATATATATATATATATATATATATATATATATATATATATATATATGTAAAATTATAAAAATTATATACAAATAAAAATGCATACTGAGGCATACTGTAGATTTTATTAAATTAATATAAGATGAAAGTTTATGAACAACAAAAATGCTAACCTGATTTATCTGGTTGCCCAAGTTGATCATTTTTAAGAAACTCATTTATTTGGCGTTCAAGATCATTTCTTCCAATCAAAATAAAACTTTGCTTAAGAAAGGTTAAATTGTTTCTAGTTATTAATTCTTTATGTTCAAGGGTATCCATAAACATGTAAGCATCCTTAATTTTTTCTATGACACCAGCTATAAAACAAATTAACCGATATAAAATTTTGAATGCAACACTTCAAATTAAAACAAATGTAAATCTTAATAAGTTTTATTAAAAATTTTGATATAACCTTTTAAAACTAATTCTTTAGTAACATTTGATATCTTCCAAATAAATAAAGATACCAATCAAAATATCTAATTATCTTTCTTTTTTTCTTTTAAACAAAACTAATATGGTCACTACACTAAACAACCAAAAAAGCTACAGTTTATAAAGTTTATGAACTTTGAAAGAGTTTTAGATTTATTATCAAAAAAATTTTATTAATTAAATTATTATTAAAAAAAAACTTGATATAAAAAAAATGTAATTAAAATAGCACAATTTAAGTTTAGAATTAATAATATCTAAACTTTTCTCTTATAATTTTTTGATAAAATTAAACGACGTTATGCTCTGTATGACAAGCACTTTTGTGCTCTTACAGTTTTGCACTCGCCCACATGCCCGCAAATAAAGCAATGAGGCTTTACTGATGGGCTAACGCTCTCCAAAAAATTAAATGTTTTTAAATTGCAATAAATCTTTCTTCTTAATCAAATTTTAACTAAAGAGGAACAAAAAACAAACATTTTTTAAAATCACGCACGTCGGACAAATAATTACTGTCCGGCCAACGCTTTTTCGTGGGCTGGAGGTAAATTTCAAACAGAGAAGACTGATAAAATTACAACTAACTAATATCTATCATAGTTCTGGTTCAGCAATTAGTCATAATGTATAATAATTCAAAAATATAAATGTATACTTCTGTCTTGTTCAAACCTCTGGTGTAGTGTTTATCCACTTGTATTTTACTTTTATGTTTGTGTTCATTCGCTTATAAGTTCCTGAACTTTTATTTTATTATTAGTTTTATTTACTTTAATGGTTATTATTTTTTAAATTTCATTCAAAACACAGTTGTTGATAGTCTTGTTTTTATAAAATCAATTGTTGAAATTGTTTTAAAAGATTTATATAATTTTTATATAAATCTTTTAAAACAACTTTATATAATTTTTTATAAAACTCATTCAAACTTTATAAATAAATAAGATTAAAAATTAATAAACTAATCATACTTAACACTGTTTTTTATAAATTTCATAAAATTCATTGAAGAGAATAAAAAAACGAAAAAAAAATTCTAAAAGCAAGTTATGACAAACAAAGTAACAAAACTCTACACTAGCAAAACTTTTACATTTTGCAAGTGGGTGGGGCAAAACAGGACAGTTAAAAAGCAGCAGTTATTCGTCAATTGTAAAGCTTTAAAAATGGTGAAAAATGAAGGCTATCTATCATTCAGACATTAAACTCTCAAAAAAGTAACATACCTATAGATACTACACGCCCATACACTCATACACCACTAAAAAGAAATAACAGCTAAAACAAAATATTTTTTTGTCTATTTTATTATAAAGTATCTCCACTCTACTCTAACCTATATATTATTAAATTGGTAACTGCTACTAAATTTGAAATTAAACAAAATATTTTATGAATCACATAAATCACATATAAAGTATCCAGAAACTGTTCGGCAACATTTTGATAAGCTGGCTTATTAGCAATATGCCAATGTAGAGCAAACTTAAATATGCCATATGTATCAGTAACTTTTCTAATTCTAAGTTTTAGTTTACTCACAACTAAAACTGAATTTCATCCCGTTTTGGATGATTGATCTTATATAATTATATTAGGAATAATTATATTATAATTAGGAAATTATATTTATTATATAATTTCCTATCTTTTTTGTTTACATTAAACAATATTAATAATCGAAGTTAAGTTATAAAAATAAATATAAAAAGAAATTCTTTGAATAAAAAAAAATTTTAGATTAAAAATAAAATCATCAAACTGCAAACAGCATCACGAAATATACTCAATTATAAAAATACTTTTGTTGCCCCAATATGCCCCAACTAAGTCAATTTACTGAAATTGATACAATTCAAAAAGTTCAATTCAAAATAACTTTTTAAAAATAGATAATAAATAAGGATAAAAAAAACTATCTGAAAAATATAAACTCGCAAGAGTTCAAGATAAATCTTTTTCACTGTATTGCTTAAGATAATACGCAAATTTTTTTTCTTCCAAACTTACTGATGCTTTTTGGTACTTTTAATGCATTTTGGTATTTCTAAAACTATTCTTTTTTTACGATAATGAAGCACAATTTAAAATGCCCCCCCCCCTCACTAGATACCTCTCAATGTTTTCCCATTCTTTGAAGTCCACTGAGGCTAAAAATCAAAACAAAAAAAAATTCGTTGCAAGGAAGTGATAGCTGTAAAATTCGAAAAAATTGATTTTTTCAAAAAAAAATGTCTGTTACATCAATGCTGAATTAATATGTAGAGAATTTTATTTTTATCGTTTATTTTATTTTTAATAAAGCTAATAACGATGCCTAGGTTGAATAAAATTATTATTAGGCTGATAAATTTTTTTTATAAGCATATTTTTGAAACATGCTTATTCAACATTTTGAATAAGCATGTTTCAAAAATATGCTTATTTTTGAAAATATACTTAAAGCTGAGGAAAACGTTTATTTTTTTGTAAGAAAGTCAAAAGATACTTTTAAGAGTTCCTGTATACAAGAATATACGTCACATTTTTTAAATAAAAATCCTCTAATACCATCGAAGGAAAAAACAACCTATGTACGATAGTCTTGTAGATGGTTAAAAAATAATAATCCAAAACCAAATAATTAAATTTATCTTTGTAATTGACCATCGGCAACTTGGTATGTTACGTTTTTTACTATTGTTCAAACTTACTCTAAATATGCATGTTTTTGAGCACAATTCCATTAATACATATACTAATGGAATTGTGCTCAAAAAAATTAAAAAGAAAAATTTAATGATTCGCTTTTGGTAACACGTTTTTTAGGTTTTTAAGGTGATTAATTCATATATGTTATTTAATTTAAGATTTTATAGTATTTTGTAGTATTTTGTAACATGAGCGATTCTCGCACAAAATATACAAATAAAGGAGAAAAGAGAAAGATACAGACCAATCCCACGAGGCTACTGTTTCTTCTCGAGTATCCTATTAACCAGTAACCTATAAACCAGCTTCCCAGCATTGGAAATGTTCTTAGATACATACAGTTTATCAAATCTCCAAAGTCTTTGAAATTTAAATCTAATGAGCCTATTGTAACTTGCTCTCAAACATTTCTAGGCAAAGATCTTATCTGCAAGGGTGGATTATGTAGAAATCAGATGTGTTACTGCTCTTGTAATGGATGTTTGGAACAAAGCTGCTTTCTGAAAGTTTATCCTATCTGGAGTTGCTGTCAGGTATGAACTAATGCAACTTTTAATTTAATATAAACAAAATATAAAGCAACAAACATTAACATTATTATTATAATTTATAAAAAGTAACCTTACCTAGGTAATTATGAAACTTTATATGTTTTTTTTATATCATTAAGAGATAAGATTTTGAAATTCCATACTAAATATTACAAGCTAATCAAACTTTTCAACATATCTGTAGCAAGGTTTGAGGAAAAAATCCAATCAGATAGCCTTCATACCCAGAATGCCAAGGCGGAAGACATTCAGTTTTTTTAAGACCAAAAAGAGCATCGAAAAATGTATATAACTACAGAAATAGACAAAGAATTTGAAGCATCTGTTAAAAATAGACAGGATTGTTGACAGAGAATGAAGAATATGAAGATTACATCAGTGGAAAAAGATAAAAAGAAAATGGTTACTAATGAGGTTTCATATGATTCTGATACCAACTCATCTGCATCGGAGTCAGATGATGCAGTTTTTCACAGATAAAGACAATGTCAACGAATTACTTCAAAACTTTGGTTCTACAGTAAAAACCAAGGTAAATAAAAGATTATTATAAATTCTAAAGTTATTTGTATTAAATTTGAGTGAACTAAATTTAACTGCTTTCAACTACATTAGAAATATCACTTCTATTTAATATTTAGATAATTATAAATATTAGTCCTGAGGATCTAGTGGATTGTACTTCTGTGGTATCTGCTCGGTATAGGGTTGGAATCTGACCTCAAACCGCAATCATTGTAGCAATATGCAATAAAGCAGGCATAAATCTTGAAAATGTGCCAAAATCTTTAAAAGCTCTGGTCATCGAAAGAGATTCAAGATGATTAAAGATCTAGGTAAAAATAACTAATTGAAATAAATAATAGGATTAATAAAAATTTAATTAAGTTGCTAATAAAGTTATTTTGAAATTTAGGAGACCAAATAAGGCAAGATATTATGGAAACATTGAAGGGAAAGAGACTTGTACTGCACTTAGATAGCAAAAAAATAAAAGAGATGGAGGAGAATCTAAATATTACTGTTACTTTTGAAAAGATTTCTGTTATTGTTACATCACCAGATATTGACGACACAAATGACATCCTCCTTGGAGTAGTTCAAGCTCAAAGTTCCAAGGACTTGACCAGGCAGATGTAATCTTACAACATTGTTGTTTGTTGTAATATTACATTGTTGTTTGATGTAATATTACAACATTGTTGATTAGACCTTTGCCATATGCTGTGACACTACTGCTTCCAATACTGGAGTATTTGCAGAAGCGATAAACATCCTCACAAACATCCTTAACATTCCATTTCTCTGGTTTCTCTGCAGACAACACATGTTTGAGATACACATCTCACATTTCATGGAGGCTCTTACTGGTGAAAAAACAAAGAGGCCCAGGAGAGCACTATATTTAAGACTTCAGAAAGCCTGACCAAGCATTAAGGAGGAGGTGCCCAAGATGGAGGAGGTAATTAGGTTTGATTGGAACGAGCTACAGGTTGGATCATCTTTTTACAACATAGCAAGGGAAGCCTTAGAGTTTTGAAAAAAGGCACTGACCACAAAGACATTTAAAAGAGGCGACTACATGAAGCTCTACCAACTAGTTGTATTCTATTTAAGAGGAGATGTACGGGGGT